CCAGGGAGGATAGCCATGCTGCACTCCCTTTTCCTCCATTCTCTCGGGATCTTGGGCATGCATGCACACGCACCCTGCGTGAGTTTACGACACTGGGTCCAGGACTCAAACCGTGGTCAACTACATGGGAGTTCAGTGACATAGCCATTATGCTAACTGCTGGTCCCTATTTAACCCATACTCTTAATACATACTGCTCCATTGAATCTTTTACAGTTATTTTTCATCCCCTCACCTACATTCAATCTCTATTCTGACATTTTTTGTACCGTATATTAGTTTTATGTCCTATAGAATTTCATGTAAATGGAATCACGTAGTATATTCTGTGATGTTTGTCAGAATATCTGCGATTTTTTCATACTATCTAGAACATTTCTCTTTTTTTGGAGAGGTTTTCGCTACAGGGCAAGTGCTCTCGCCAGACAGACAGAGACATAGAGACAGAAAGTGAAAAATCACCCCCCAGAGGGGATAGTCACGCCGCAATCCCTTCTCCTCCATTCTCCTCTCGGGATCTTGGGCATGCACGCACACGCACCCGGCGTGAGTTTTAAGCCACCGGGTCTGGGACGTGAACTGTGGTCGACTACGTGGGAGTCCAGCGACATAGCCATTACGCTAACTGCTAGTTTCCCTAGAACATCATTTCTTTATTGGTGAGTGGAATTCTATTGTCCGAATGTAGCACTGATTGTTCAGTGTTGATAGACATTTGTTCTCATGTTGATAGACATTTGGGTTGCTTATAGTTGATAGCTTTTGTGAATAAAGTTGTTAATGAACTTTTTTTACATTTGTCTTTGTGGGTGTATGTTTTCATTTCTCTTGGATAAACATTAAGGAGTAGAATTGCTGGGTCAAAAGCAGATGTGTATTTAACTTTATAAGAAACGACTAAGCATTTTTCCAAAGTGATTTTACCAATTTACGTTCCAGCCAGCAAAGTATGAAAGTTCATGTCACTATTCTTTTGTGGTCACACCACAATCATTTATCTTCCATTTCTCCTCTTCTTGGGATTTTGGGCATGTAAGCACACATACCCAGTGTGTTTTAAAAGTTGCTGGGTCCAGGACTTAAATCAGCTAGATGGCCATGTGGAATCCTGCCACTTTTAACTACCCAGGCCACCAGCCAACCCCAACTTACTACTCTTCATCCTTGTCAGCATTTAATGTTGCTAGTGTCTCACTGTAGCCTTTTTTCTTTTTCTTTTTTTTCGATAATAGGGTCTGTGCATTCACTGGGAAGAGACAGAAAGAGAAAGAAAATGAAAACAACCCCCCGCCACCCCCCACCCCTGGGTAATGGCTGTGCCACAGTCCCTTCTCTGTTCCTCACTCAGGACTTTTAGGCACACACACATATGAGCCTGGTGTGTTTTTCAAGCCATTGGGTGTGGGACAAACCATGCGGTCTGCCATGTAGGATCCAGCTGCCTTGACATCCATGCCACCTGCTGGCCCTTCATTTTTACTGTTCTTGTGAATGTCTCATTGTGGTTTTAATGTGAGTTTTCTTGATGAACAATGATGTTGAATATGTTGAATACTTTTGCTTTGTAGACCTTTTTTTTTTTTTTTTTTACCTTTTTTTAGTTTTGTTATAGGGCGTATGTGCTCACCAGAGAGAGAGAGCATCTCCAAGGAGGGATGGCCATGCTGCAATCCCTTCTCCTCCATTCTTCTCTCAGAATTTTGTGCATGCACACATACACACCTGGTGTGTCTTTCAAGCCACCAGGTCCAGAATGCAAACCACAAAGCTGGCCATGTGGGATCCAGTGCTTTAACTAACATGCCTCCTGGCTGGCCCATTTACCTTTGTTAAGAATTAAATTGTTGCCTTTTTTTTTTTTAATTTGCTTTTGAACATGTGTGCTCGCCACAGATGTGAGAGAGAGGGAGAGGAAGTGAGAAAACACCACCTTGGAGGAGGGGTGGCCATACTACGTTCTTTTCATTCTCTTCTCAGGATTTTGGGCAAGCGTGTGTGTTTTTATAAGCTACCAGGTCTGGACTACCTGCCCAGTGGCCATGTGGGATCAAGCCACCTTAACCACCACACCATTGGTTATCCCAAATGCTGACCTTTCTAGTAATGAGTTTGGAGCTGTTTCTTTTTTGTTTTTGTTTTTTATAATTATTTTAATTTTTATGTATTCATTTATTTTAATTTGACCAGAGAGAGAGAAAGTGAGAGAGAAAGCAAGCCCCCAGGCCTGCGACTCAAACCATGATTGGCCAAGTGGGAATCCAGTGTCCTAACCACGACACCACCTGCTGGCCTCAGAACTGTTTATACTTTCTAGATAGGAACTCTAGAATATAAGAATTTCTAGACTATGTGAATATTCATAAATATACTTTCCTCAATTTGCATATTCATATTATATATTTTAATGAACAGAAGCTCTTAATCTCATTGCTTATATTGATTATTTTTTACTTTTATGGTTATGCTTTCTGTGTTCTGAGAAACCTTTGCCTATCCTTACTTCTGAAATATATCTTACTCTTTAAATTGAGTTTTGATATTTTAAACTTTTATTTCATAATCTATGTCAGGTTTTTTTTTTTTTTTTTTTTTTTTTTTTAAAACAACCAGCCTTGGTTATACTGATGATTATCTGTTGTTCATTCATTTTGTTTTTTGGGTTTTTTTTTTTCAGTCTTTCATATGATTTTCTTTTTTTTTTTTTTTGTTCTTTTGGAGAGGTTTTTGCTATAGGGCGTGTGCGCTTGCCAGACAGAGAGAGAGAGACATAGAGACAGAAAGCGAGAAATCACCCCCCAGGGGAGATGGTCACGCCGGAATCCCTTCTCCTCCATTCTCCTCCTGGGATCTTGGGCACGCATGCACACGCACCCAGTGTGAGTTTTAAGCCACCGGGTCCTGGACGTGAACCGTAGTCGACTACATGGTAGTCCAGCGACATAGCCATTACACTAACTGCTGGTTCCCTGATTTTATTGTCTCGCTTCAACCATGATAATATGATATGCAAATGTTGTCTTAACTGGTCTGTAAACACTGGCTTATCCATCCCACTTACAGGCAAGGCAAAAGCTACTTCTCGAAATAGCATGGACCCTCTGGTCATCCCACGGAAGTTACCACCTTCCCTGGCTTTACCCTCACTGTATTGTATGTCCACTTTGTTGAATTTCATTCCAGACTTTAACTTTCACTTAGCTTCCATAATTTTACCATGTGTTCCACATAGAATATGTCTAACCTTTATTGTATTGCCACCACCTTTGGGACCCTAAGCCTTCTTATCAGCACTGTCACTCCCAGACACTGCTCTTCCTTTCCCCTCTTTTCACAGCTTAACTTTGTTTTCACCACTTTGTCCTTTGGGGTGTCTTCAAGACTTGCCAGTGAACATTCAACCGCTCCAGTGTTATGCAAAGCCCCCGTTTTCTATTTCATTAATTACTGTTCTTTAAACTTTGTGTTTAATTTGCTTATCCTTTTCTACTTCTGAAGGTAGAAACTTGGATTGGTTTTGGATCTTTTTCAAGATAAACATTTAAAAATACAATTTTCCACCTACAGCTTTACTTATACCCCACAGATTTTGATATGTTGTGTTCTTATTTTTATCTTTTTTTTCTTGAAACAATATTAGTTTTCTAAATTTGTTTGAATTAAAAAAAGACTTTTTTGATTCAAGTTTTACCCTTTTGTATATGGGTTAAGAATAGACAAAGTGGGAAGTATTAGCTATTTTGAGAGATTAGCATATTATTATCATCTTTATTGAAAAGTATCTTTTAATGCTTATCTGTAGGTTGGTTATTTTATAATTCCTGCAATAAAAAGCAAATGTGGTATATTTAGAAAATACTTATGAAAGAGTCTTTTTTTTTTTTTAATCCAATTTAGAGTTCGTTGTCGAAATGCTGGTCCTGTAGCTGTAGCTGAGAAGAGCATTGCCCAGGTTGCAGAGAAATTTATATTAAGAGGTTATTGTCCAAATTGCAATCAAGTCTTTGTGGATGACACAAGCACCCGAAATCACAAGCAGAATTCAGGACACAAAATCCGAGTTATTAACTCAGTGGAAGAATCAGTTTTACTTTATTGCCATACCAGTGAAGGGAACAAACCTTCTTCTGACTCAAATTTATTGTTAGATCAATCAAAATGTTCATCACTTAAAAGAACTGTGTCTAGTAAAGAATCTAGCTCACAGGATTGTGGTGCCATTCCAATAAAGAAGATGAATTTAAAAGGTAAAGGCCACGAAGATGTGGTTTGTCTCCAGACGGAAAAGCCAGTAGTTAAAACCTGGTTTTGTGAATGCAGTGAACGATTCTCAAGTGAAGACGCAGTAGAAAAGCATGTTTTCTCAGCAAACACAATGTGTTATAAGTGTGTGGTCTGTGGAAAGGTGTGTGAAGATTCAGGAGTCATCCGTTTACATATGAGCCGAATTCATGGAGGAGCACATTTAAATAATTTTCTCTTCTGGTGTCGGGCATGCAAAAAGGAGTTAACAAGGAAGGATACTATCATGGCACATGTGACTGAATTTCATAATGGACACAGATATTTTTATGAGGTGGATGAGGTAGATGAAACGTTGCCATCATCCTCTTTGACACTAGTGAATAATGTGACTATTGACAAGCCTCCTTCAGCTGTTACTAATACTGATCATGCCCCAGCAAATAGTCCTCCAAGGGGTAAATGGCAATGTCGAATTTGTGAAGATATGTTTGATTCTGAAGAAAGTGTGAAACAGCACTGTGTGTCTTTGACAAGTCACCAGTTTCATCGATATAGCTGTGCCCATTGCAAAAAGACTTTTCATAAGATCGAAACATTACACCGACATTGTCAAGATGAGCATGACAGTGAGATAAAGATTAAATACTTCTGTGGACTTTGTGATCTTATCTTTAATGTTGAAGAAGCATTTTTGAGTCATTATAAGGAACATCACAGCATAGATTATGTGTTTGTGTCAGAAAAAAAAGAAACTTCAATTAAAACTGAGGATGATTTTCCAGTAATAGAGACCAGTAATCTGTTAACGTGTGGTTGCCGCGAGACTTACATCTGTAAAGTTAACAGAAAGAAAGATTATACTAAATGTCTTCAGATCATGCTGGATAAGGGAAAACTGTGGTTTCGCTGCAGTTTGTGTTCAGCAACAGCACAGAATTTAGCCGACATGAATGCTCACATTCATCAAGCACACAGCGAAGAGAAGAAAGAGGAAGAGGAGCAGCGGTATGTAATCAAGTGTGGCACCTGCACCAAACCGTTTCACGATCCTGAGAGTGCACAGCAGCACTTCCACAGAAAACATTGCTTCTTACAGAAACCCAGTGTGGCTCATTTTGGTTCTGAAAAAGCAAGCTTGTACAAGTTCACTGGCAGTGCCTTACATGGAGAGAGAAAACCGAAACATACAGTAAGCGTTCCCAAAAATTCAAACTTGGAGAAAGATGCAGAGAATGACCTAAGCTGTCCAAATATAGGTATGACTTTACCACTCTGTGTAGTTTTCACGTGCAAATATAGAAACACAGTATACCACCATTTTCGTGAAAGTTTATAGAGTCAATTTTTTTAAAGGAATTATTAATTTCATTTTATTTATTATTTAATTTGACCAGAGAGAGAAAGGGAAAGTGAGAAAACAAGCTGCTGGGTCCGGGATTCAAACCATGGTCGACCATGTGGGAGTCTAGCACCTCAACCACCACGCCACCTCCCAGCCCAGTAGTGATTCAATTTTGAGTAAACATAATGGGATGATTCATTAACTAGTTAGGAGACTAAAGCATATCTTTTTTAGGGATTTGTATTCCTACTTCTTTTATTTATCTCCTTTCTAAGCTTAAAGGAATAAAAAGCATCTGTTGGCCTAAAATAATACGTATTTCAGATTTTTTTTTTCCACGAAGCATAGGAATTTTGAGAGCTGAAGGGATTTGGTAGTCTTCTGAAAGTCGGATTTGAAAATTATCCTAGATATTCTGTTACTTAGATTTAGCAATTAGAAGTAGAGTTTGGTCCAGCTGCAGTGGTATACACTGCTAAGATGTTCTCATAGGCTAAGATCATATGGAAGGTTCAGGTCATTTCCTAGTCCATCCCGAAGACCAGGTGCCATGGCTTATATCTCTGATCCTGGTGACTTGGAGGCTAAGGAAGGAGGATTGTGAGCTTCATTCTGGCCTGGGCAAAATAGGTGAGACCTTGTCATTAAAAAAGACCGGGCATGGGACCAGCAGATGGCGTAATGGCTACATCACTGGACCGCCCACATAGTTGACCGTGGTTTGAGTCCCGGACCTGGCAGCTTAAAATTCATGTAGGGTATGTGTATGTGTCCATGCCCAAAATCCCAAGAGGAGACTAGAGGAGAAGGGACTGTGACATGGCCATCCTCCCTGGGGCGGGGGAGGGGGTAATTTCTCACTTCCTGTCTTTCTGTCTTTGTCTCTCTGTTGAGTGCACACGCCGTGTAGCAAAAATCTCAGGCATGGTAATGTGTGTGTGCATGTATTTGAGCTGAGAGGCCAAGGCAAGAAGATTAGTGACAGCAAGATCCTGTCCTTAAAAAACAAATAAATAAATAAAAAGGAAAGGCAGCAAGGTACCAGGCGGAAAATTGGGGTATGAATCTCCTTATTTGTACTTACTCTGGATTTTTCTTCTGCCATAGAATGTACTGTTTTCATTTTGTTTAGAACTGTATTTTGTTTTGTTTAGTGTCTTCATTTTAAGCCTATATCCTTTTAAATAAATATTTACTCTTGATGGATTATATAGAGACAGTGAAAATATGTGATAATTTTGACTAATATTTTTATGAACATTAAATTTTTTTTAACATTTTTTTTTAAAGATTTATCTTATTTATTTATTCATGTACTTACTTTAACTTGACCAAAGACGGACAGAATGAGAGAGAGTAGGGGAAAATGAGAAACCAAACCACTAGGTCCAGGACTCAAACCATGGTTGACCATGTGGGAATCCAGCGTGCTTAGCCACCATACCACCTGCTGGCCCCTTGAACATTAAATTTTTGAAAGCTTGCTCTTAAACATATGTAGATCTCAACATCACTTACGGTCATTACATGCTTTCAGTGAGAAAGGATTAAAACGTGTGAGTCCTATTCACCTCTATTCCAAACATGAAACAGAGGCACACTCTATCTTATAGTCTTGTATGCGTTTCTTTTCCTGTTCTGATGACTTTGGAAAGTTGTGATAGTCTGTGTTTGATTCAAGATGGTTATAATATTGGGTTGTCAGAAAAGTCTTGACTTGCTGTTCTGTGTTTATGCAAAATGTATTATGACTTTTCTGGTGACCCAATGTTTAAACCTGGAATTATTGAGAACTTGGAAAAAAAGACGAAGGGTGGCTTGGAAATGTGAGGGAATGGCAGTCATGTATCTAAGGGAACCTCAGATTGGCAGAGTAGAAGCTATTCAGTTTTTAAATAATTTATCATTTTAAGATCTCCATTGCTACCACTAGAAATGTTAAGGCCTTATCAAGGTGGAAAGTGTGAGACCAAGGGAAGGGGGAAGGATAACAAAAGTTGGAGAATGGGGAAAAGGGAAAGAACTTAACCAAGAAAGATGTGTGTGTGTGTGTTTTCTTGCTTTTTGCTTTTTTAGAGAGATTTTTGCTATAAGGGCGCATGTGCTCGCTGGAGAGACAGAAAGTGAGAAATCACCCCCTAGGGGGAAGGCCACGCCATAATCCCTTCTCCTCCATTCTCTTGGAGTGTTGGGCATGCATGTGCACACACATCCAGCATGAGTTTTAAGCCACAGGATCCGGGACTCAAACTGAGGTCGACTACATGGGAGTCCAGCGTCATAACCATTACCTTATCTGCTGGTCCCAAGATGTGTTTTTGATAAATGCTAATGTGCCACTGGCACCCATTCTACCACACTTTATGGCAGGTTGTGGATTATCTTATGCCTGCTTTCTAGGGTATTTAATCACAGACCAAAAGACTGTAAATAAATGAGTCTAGACTAGGCAAAGCATCAAATTCTGGCGCCAAAAAGGTCTTTGAATTTTATTTTGATAGATGGTGCAAGTTTTGGTTAGTTAGCATTAAAACATTGTCTTCTGGTTCTCTATATCTTTTAAAAAATTATTTTTATAAATGACTCTTAAAAGTGTTAGGACCCGTGACAGAATTTTTTAAAAGATATATAATGGAATTTATTAAATACTCAGAATATTTTTTATCTGATTTAAGGGTATATTCTGTCACTTACAAATTTGAATTTCATGAAAAGGTTTAAGTAGAGATGATGTGCAAGATCAGTATTTTTGTGTGTTATGTCTCCAAAATATTTTAGACTTGAGAAATTAGAGTGCATTTAGCAAATTCTTACTGAATTCATATTAACGTTTCTCACTTCTCAGAGGAAGAAGATGTTGAGCTTCCTGATCTGGATTACCTGCGGACCATGACGCATATAGTCTTTGTAGATTTTGATAACTGGTCAAACTTTTTTGGTCATCTACCAGGGCATCTTAACCAAGGGACATTTATTTGGGGCTTTCAAGGTATGGTTATTTATAAGCAAAATATTTGAGAAACTCTCTATTCTACCCCATTGTTTCACTTTTAAAGTCTTTTGAACCTTCCTGAATAGAACACAGGAGTGTAATTGGAATATCTTTACTTTGCATTATAGTAGCAATTATATACTCTGCTAGAATATTTTTCTTCTTTCCATGTCTCTATTGCAAATGTTAGCTCTGGGCAGATTTGGTAACCCAGTGTTAAAAGATCTTTTGATACACATTGAAAAAGTCTTCATTCAACAGCACCTGCAATGTGCCAGGCACTATTGCTTGGTATTAACATGGTTACCAGTTGTTACGGTTTTCTGTCTATACAAGGAAGCAGGTGAAGTTTTGCTTTTTTATTTTTAAATTATAAAATTAATAAATATCAGAGTTAGCTTTTGAACTTTGACCTATCTTAGCTATAGGACTAGTGTTATTTTCAACATACCAGAGCTATCATTTTAGTCCATCCTAGCTATTCATAACTATGGAGATTCATCTAAATTTTTTTATAAACCATTGACCAAACCTGATGAGTTTTCTTTGGTTTAAAGAGATTTACTATACTGAGCATCTGATATAGTTATTTTTTGATAGGAAACAGCATAAAAGGGGAAGATTAAAGACAAAAACATACTGACCTGAATAAGTTAGCCAGGATAAAGTTCAGCAAATCTCTATTTGTTGATTATCCATTGTTTCTATCCACTGAACAGCCTTTAGGTATTAGAAAACCCACTAATGCTTGCATTCATGCTGAACGATGGCATTCATAGAATTTTCACCAGCATTACTTTGAATTTGCTTAACATCTATTTTCAGATGAATAAGCAGGGGAAATTGGTCTACTTTTCTGAGGTAAAACAAGATAGCGATACCCATGCTAGGACTGAGTTTTTTCTACATTCTAATCTAGTACTTTTCCTCTAAAAAAGCTTTTAATAGTGTGCATTTTTCCTTGATAAAATATTTCTGGGTTTTCCTCCCCTGTTTGACTATCATTTACACCTTTTCTAAAATTAATAGGGGGAAACACCAATTGGAAGCCTCCACTCAACTGTAAGATCTATAATTACCTGAATAGGATTGGATGCTTCTTCCTTCATCCCCGCTGTAGTAAAAGAAAAGATGCTGCTGATTTTGCCATATGTATGCATGTGAGTCATTGTTTTATTCAAACTCTAATGTGACTCTAGGATCCACTCAAGTTTTTTTTCCTATTGAATTGTAATGATGGCACGCAGACCGTTATTCAGTACTGTGTTTTTGTATGAAACCTATATCAGCTTCTACTTATAACTACTGTGAGGACAGGAGTTCATAGATATTTATTTACTTCTTTATTTCCAACTCTTAGCAGACCCTCAACTGCACCCAAATATTTAGTTATGCAATAAGTAGTCAAGAGATGATACTGTGTATGATATATGCTGACAGTAACATTCCTGAAATCGAGAGGTTCCTTAACAGTTACTATTGGCCTAGATGGAATTTCACTTGCTTCTGCCTCCTCTAGTCACCTATAGAAACCACCAATCTGAGACCCACTTTATTATCATCATTATTATTTAGCTTTTGCTACAGGGTACATGGGCGAGACAGAAAGAGAAAGTGAGAAATCATTCCTCCTGCCCCAGGGATGGTCACTCCACAGTCCCTTCTCCATTCTCTCTTCTTGGGATTTTGGACATACATGCACACATGCCTGGCATACTTTCCAGGCCACCAGGTTTGAGATTCAAACTACACACTCAGCGAAGTAGGATTTAGCTGTCTTACTGCCACGCCGCCTGGTTGGCCTCCTAAGACCCACTTGAAATTGAATCATGTACTTGATAGCTTACATATCACACTGATAATGTGAATTTACTCTGAAAATGTGTTAACTAATGCTTATGGTTTAAACCTTAAGAGATTTCTTTTTCTCTCTATCTGCCAAAATTGAGTTTTGCTAATTACCTTGCTTACCTTTTGGCACTAGGCCAGATCTCCTATTCTTACATGAAACATGTAGCCTTTTAGCTCTTATTGGACTTCTGTTTTGGCTTTTTTTTTTTTTTTCCCTTAGTGGCACATAAAATAGCTTATCTTAAAATTAGTGTCCTCTTGGCATTTGTTCAAATGTGCTATTTTTCATTTATGAAGGAGATATTTGTATCATACTTTGGTGGGTGCTAAAGAGCAGGCTTAATATACCGTCCTAGATATCTGTTCATTGTGGAAAAGATGCAGTTTGATATGAGACTCATGCTGATTGATACCAACCTATGCCATTTGTTCCAACTTAGGCTGGCCGTCTAGATGAACAACTACCCAAGCAAATTCCTTTCACCATCCTCTCAGGAGATCAAGGTTTTCTGGAGCTAGAGAATCAATTTAAGAAGACTCAGAGGCCAGCTCATATATTAAACCCTCACCACTTAGAGGGCGATATGATGTGTGCCTTGTTAAATAGCATATCTGATACCACCAAAGGTACGCAGCTGCATTCACAGTGCAAACCACCCAAGAGGAGGAGACTTCACTGCTGAGAGAAACCAATAAACTGCTGTCCACTAGTGAACTGTTGCCTGCTCACTAAATCAGTGTTTTCTTACTTTATCTTATTTGTCTTTTCTTTATGTCAACTTTATTCCCTAGTGTTTTAAAAGGAGGAGGAATTCATAATAATTTTCTGAAGCCTTTATTTAATCTAATAGGCAAAAGTCTATATTCATGTATTCATGGGTTGAAATGTGTTACTATAAATTTCAAGGCTTTGAATTCACATCTTCACTGTGTTTCTGACTTTCCGAATTTATCTTCATTATTTTAGAAATCAAAGTTCTTATATATGAAATCCCAGAAACAAAAAATAATAGTATGGCAATATAAAAAAAAGAAAAGACCATTTATGAAGTTGATAGTGACAAAAGGAAACCTCTTTTGGAGCTGTAGGTTCTTAGAAGTGATGAATACCTCTTAATATTTTTGTTTCTGGGTTTTTGCCATAGGATGTGTGTGCTCACCACTGAGAGACAGAGGGAAAATAAGAATTCACTCTCAGGGGGATGGGTATGCCACCATCCTCCTCCTCTATTCTCCTCTTGGGATTTTGGGTATGTACACATGGTGCGATGGGTCCCAGACTCGAACGTCAGTCAGTCATATGGAAATCCAGCATCTTAACTGGCCTGCCACCTCTTGGCTTCTAGTACCTCCTATCTTATTTCTGAGACTTGTGCTGTCTTCTCTACCTTAGTAAGTTTGCTCAATGAAAGGAGTGCTGGTATCCAATCTGACTTCCCAGTGTTTAAGGATATAGTTCTAGAGATGCAGTTCTGTTTTTTATAATCTCTTACATAAAGAAAAATGCCTAAAAGAAGATAATAAAAGAATAGCTCACTTTAAAATATTCTTATAATTTTAATCCATGAATAAAATTTGAAGGTATTGATTAATGACCTTCATGAAAAACAGTGTCTACTTTTTGACATTTTTATTGTACGCCTTTAAGTTTTCCAGTTCTGCTTTCCAGTCAGTTTGTTTTTCTTTCACTTTCAGTATATTCAGAACCACATTTTTTAAAAAGCTTACTTGGGACCAGCAGATGGCGTAATGGTTAAATCACTAGACTCTCACATAGTCAACTGCAGTTTGTGTCCTGGCCAGTGGCTTAAAGCTTACGCTGCGCTCATATGAGTGCATGCCCACCCAAAATCCCTAGAAGAGAGTGGAGGAGAAGAGATTGCAGCCTGGTCATCCCCCATTTCTCACTTTCTGTCTCTGTCTCCGGCAAGTGCATGCACCCATTAGCAAAAATCTCTTTTTTAAAAGTTATTTCTGAAAGAGAGGCGAGGACATCCCAAGTACGGTCCTAATGTCGCTGTCTACCCCCAGTCTCCACCGGACTGGATCATGGGCACATACACATGCCTGACCTGCTCTTAGAAGTTACAGGACAAGAACTCATTATGTCCCGTAGGGGTCCAATTACATTACCACTGTGCTACCACCTGGCCCTGGAACCACATTTTAGTTGAAAAATCCATTATGAAGAATTTTGCTCTAATTAGTAATTACAGTGGATCAATCCACTTTTGCAAAGTTAGTGATCAAAGTAATGATGCAAAATTATCAAAATGAACTCTTTTGCATATTTATGTCATGCCTTAGTACTGAATATGACCTTCCTATTTTGCAACTTCTGTTTTCATCTACTTTTCCTATCTTTGGCTTTCTATTAAAAAAAAAAAAAAAAAGCAACTTTCACTTTCTTTTGCCATCCTTAACATCTACTTAATATCCTGCAAAATACTTTTTACCTTTGCCACATTAGACCAAACTTCTTTTCCTTTTCTTAAGCTGCTTCCTTTGGAAACATTTCTTTTATAATTTAGAATGTAAAACTGGTTATGGATTTGCCTCTATTTCAGTTTTATTTGGAATGACAGTTGCGTGTGACCAAGTATGCATGGATGTGTTTGGGTTGGAGGTAAGGTGTAGGTTATTGATAGTGCTGATCATGCTCTCTGGGTGCTCATTATGCTCTAGATATCCCCTCTTTTTTTAAAACAAAAATTATTCATGTATACTCATTTGAACTTTTGCTTTTTTGGAGGTACATCTATATTTTCTGAATTTTGTGTAGTGCATAAAGATTATATAGTACCTAAAGAGATTGTGTAGAAGGCTATGTCTAACACAGCATGTAAAGTACATTGAGTATTCAGTAAAAAATAACTTTTTTTTTTTGGAGAGGTTTTTGCTATAGGGCGCATGCACTCACCAGAAGGACGAAAAGAGACAGAGAGACAGAAAGTTAGAAGTCATGCCCTGGGGGGATGGTCACGCTGCAATCCCTTCTCCTCCATTCTCCTCTCGGGATCTTGGGCATACACACACACACACACACACGCCTGGCGTGAGTTTAAGCCAGTGGGTCCAGGACTCGAATTGCAGTGAACTACATAGTAGTCCAATGACATAGCCATTACGACAACTATTTTTATTACTGTCATAGAAAAATATTCCTAGCCACTACATTTTTAAAGTGATGAAAATAATTCAAATTATGTGGTCTGGGGCCAGTAGGTGACATGGTGATTAAAATGCTGAACTCCCACTTGACTGTCTGTAGTTTAAATCCCAGACCTGGCAGCTTTCTTTTTCAACCCCCTTATGTCTCCCCTCCTGCCCCCCCCCCACTCTCTGTCTCTCTCTGATGATTGCCTTGTAGCAAATTGCAAATTTTAAAATAAAAGGGGCCAGCCAGATGGTATGGTGAGGTGGCTGGATCCCAAATGGCCAACTGTGGTCGAGTCCTGGACCTGGCAGTTTGAAACCCATGCCAGGCACATGCACATGCATGCCCAAAATCCCAAGAGGAGAGTGAGGTAGAAGAGACTGTGGCGTGGCTATCCTGCCTATGGGTTGATTTCTCACTTTCTCTGTCTGTTTCTGTGTCCCTGGCGAGCATGCACACCCTATAGCAAAAATCTCTCTCTTTAAAAAAAATAATAAAATTTTAAAAAAGGACTAAGCATCAAACTAATAAATTTTTTTTTGAGAGATTTTTTTCCCTATAGGGTGCATGTGCTTCGCCAGAGAGACAGAAAGAACAACAGAAAGTGAGAAATCACCCCCCAGGTGGGTGGCCATACCACAATCCCTTTTTCCGTTCTCTCAGGATTTTGGGCTTGCCCTCACATGTGCCCAGCACGCGGTATAAGCCGCTGAATCCAAGACTCGAACCTCAGTCAACTACATGGGAGTCCAGCAATGTAACTATTACACCATCTGCTGGTCCCCAAAATAATAATTCTTTTAAAAACTATATCAGGGCCAGCAAATGGTATGGTGGACCAGGCTGCTTCTCTCTCTTGTCTCTGCAGTGAGCATACAATGCTTCATACCAAAAATCTCTCTTTAAAAAAAAAAAAAAGATAAAGTGAACCTTTATTGTGGATCTGTGTGCTGGCCACCGTGCTAGCTGACATTTTTTATTGTTATTTTATTAAATTTCATTTTATTTATTTTAATTTGACCAGAAAGTGACAGAGAAAAAGTGAGAAAGCAAGCTGCCAGATCCAGGACTCAAACTGCAGTTGTTCATGTGGGAGTCCAGTGCCCTTAACTACCACACCACCTGCCGCTCCCCCTAGTTGACATTTTTTTTTATCTGTAATGTTTAAAGATTTTTAAACAACCTCTTCCACTTGTTTCTTTTTTTTTTTTTTTTTTAGGAACTTTTTTTGCTATAGGGCATGTGCGCTCACCAGACAGACAGAGACAAAAAGCGAGAAATCACCCCCCCACCGGGGGGGGGCGTGGATGGCCATGCTGGAATCCCTTCTCCTCCATTCTTTTCTCAGGATCTTGGGCACACATGCACACACGCCCAGTGTGAGTTTAAGCCACCGGGTCCGGGACTCGAACTACAGTCAACTACATGGGAGTCCAGCAACATAGCCATTACGCCAACTGCTGGTCCTTCCACTTGTTTTTTTAATCCTCTTTGCACACTATGGGGTAGGAGTATTAGATGACCCCATTTTATAGGTGATGATGCAGAGGTCCAAAATGGTTAAATAACCCACACAGCAAGTGCTTTTCTTTTCATCTGCTAAGATTAAGGCTTTTGCTGACATACCTGATTTTATGATGTAGAGGTAACCATTTAGTGTGAATTATTGCCTCTAACCATGTTCTTGAAGGGTGAAGATAATGAAAGATGTCTGCAGTAGTCTAACAACATGGCAGAACTTACATAAAGATACCAAATATGAGTTGTTGTTGTTTTTTAAATAACTTTCAGGAAGATTCCTTTTTTTATATTAGATGATAAAGATTTGATTGTGAGTTCTGGTACTTTACAACGTAAACTGATTATATACTGAACATAGGCAAGAAAGCAATTAGCATTGCAATTTCCCTGGGATATTTTGTCTCATAATTAAACCAATAAGGTTTATTTTCCAGGGCTTTTTGAGATGTCAGTACAAAAACTATGTGCATTGAGTCAGCTTTTCGAGCATTTGAACATGCGATTTCTCAGATTCTCTAGAAACCAGATCTCATTGCTACTTCCAGTTCTACTGCAAACGTTTCAGGGTGCATAGAACTTCTGGCAGTGTTTGCCTCCCTTGGACCAGTATGTGCTCCCTTGAGAGTGAGATATAATGAAAAAGATTTTACTACAAGACAGTTCTTTTTTTTTTTTTTTGGAGAGGTTTTTGCTATAGGGCACGTGCGCTCGCCAGACAGAGAGATAGTAAGAAAGAAATCACCCCTCAGGGGGGATGGTCACGCTGCAGTCCCTTCTCCTCCATTCTCCTCTCGGAATCTTGGGCATGCACGCACACGCGCCTGGCATGAGTTTTAAGCCACTGGGTCCAGGACCTGAACCGCGGTTGACTACATGGGAGTCCAGCAACATAGCCATTACGCTAACTGCTGGTCCCAGTTTTTTTTTGAATCTTAACATTCTTCTTACACGGTCTCATTAATGGATCTAAGACTGTTGTGTATTCGTCACTTTGGATGAATGGGGTAAAATCATTAAGTATGGTCAATAGAGTTACATGAATTACACAGGTTTTTTAAATCATCTTAAGAATTGAACATGAAAGTCCACCTGTGCTATAAATGTATAAATTGAAGCAGCATCAAGGCCTAAGGAACAGGCATTTATATAAAATAATTGTTGAACATAATTCTGAGTCTATGTTCCTATTGTTTCTTAAGCCTGTTAATGAGACAATAGGTCATTGCTTTGGGCACATCCTAAAAATCTATATTATCCAATTAGTTCTATGCGGTGTCACTAAAAATAGGAAAGAATATTCATTATAGTCTCTGTTCTCAATATGGGGTTGATTGAGGCAAGAGAAATCTTACAACTTTTGCAACCCAGTGTTAAGCTAATCTTTGTGATTCAGGCATACAGTTTTGCCTTGGGCTTTGTATGTAATGATGTATTGTGAATTGTTTGGATCATTTATTGCATGCTGCTTTTGACTGACCTTGACCTTACTTGCAATAACAGAAATCCCTGTGCATTTTCTCTTTGTTCTTTGTTTAGAGGTTTGATTTTGTTCTTCAGGCTATAAATGTAATATTTTATTTCCTTTAAACACTGCTTGAACTATTTGAAGTATTTTGCTGGAATGGCGAAAGATAGCCTATAGCAACAAACTTCTACAACAAAGGAATATAGTGGATGTAGTTATTAAGTTTTTACATGTTTGTACAGAAACAAATATGTTCATATGACCTGTTAAGTTATTCAAACACTAGTTCAGGCACTATTATATTCATAAGCCATGTATCAGTCACTTATTATGTTATCAGTCTCATGTATAACTTAGTCACTGTTACATAAATAATTACATTATCTATGAGACATATCTATATTAGTTATGTTACTATGTCTTATATATGAGATTTATCCCATGTATATATATTATATGTTGATGAATCAAATCTTAGGTCACTGACATCATCATGGTTCAAATTGTGGAATACCTAGTCAGTTGTGTCATTTTATAAAGCCTTCATCTCTCATTAAGAAAGCATATAATATACATCAGGTAAGTAAGTTTATGTCATGAAGAAGCATTGCTAACTAAAACCTATGGCGTTACTACCATAGATATAGTAATACATGTATATAATTTTCAAAATACAGGAGAATTTAATTTGTTACCATTTTAAAATAATATTTGGAAGACATTTAAAAAAAGAAAAGAAAAAAACCTATTGGGAAAGTTGTGCATTTTAACTAGTTAACTTGAGTAAGAGAAAGTTCATTGAAAACAGTAATGTTCAAGAAAACATAAATGATGGCACAGTAACTTTTTCAGAAATACATCTGCATTTATTGATCTTCCTTGCAGAATGTGATAGTGATGATAACGTGGGTACAATAAACACTTCAGTGGGAGAAGAATTCAGATCCACAGAAGGTAACCTCATAGAGTTCATCCTTTCTTTACTTAACTGTATCTCTGGCTTTTGTTTTGTTCTTTAAATTTCTCCCTCCTCCTTTATAGCCCTCCCCAAGTTTAAAAAAAAGTTTTCACATTTTAGAGAATAGCTTGCATTTTTTCATGTAAGACGATTTAAAATAACTAGAAGGATAGAATAACCATTTACAGCCCTTGGACCAGATCTAGTTCATCACCTGGTTTTGTAAAAAATTTTAAGAACATAGCCACACTCATAAGTATTGTTTTAACTGTTGCTTTCTCACTATGAAACAGAATTTGAGTGATGTGACAGAAATAGTATATCCCTTCACCCCAAAAAAACTATTTCAAATAATTATTTTCTAACCCTTTACAGGAAAAGTCTATTAATTCATGGGCTTGAAGATTATCTTAATACCCTTATTTTGATTTATTTTGAATAACATTAAATTAATAGTAAAAGGCAGTGGAGGGGCCACAAGGTGGTCCGGTGGTTAAGGTGCTGGACTCCCAGATGGCCAACCACACACAGCTCAAGTCCCAGACCTGTGGCTTGCTTTCTCACTTTCTTTCTCTCTCTGTCTCTTTCCTCTCCCTCTGGTCAAATTAAAGATGATAATGATAATAAAAAATAATTTTTTTTAAAAGGCAGTGAACTCCAAAAGCAAGCACTTGTACCTAAATATTAATGATTGTTTATGTAAATTAAATACATTTTCTCTCTTTTTCAAGGAGAAGCTTTTTCTATAAGTTAAAGGCTACTTTTTGTATCACTTGGCATCAAGTCATTTTCTGGCTATACCGCTATTTAGTATCTCTTCTAGCCATTTTTTACTTTGGTTTATCCATAACGGACTGCATTTTTAAATAACTGGGGTACAGCCAGCAGATGGCGTAGTGGTTAAGGCACTGGCTTCCCACATGGCTGACTGCAGCTTGAGTCCTGGGCCTGATAGCTTGGTTTCTTGCCGGGGACCAGCCTCAGCGTGGGTGGGTTATCTCTACGGCGGCGGCGAAGGTGAACAGAAGACAGAGGCCTTGATGCCTTTTCATGCACATCCTTTGCCGGACACCCCTCAGAGATCGCTCTCTGAGGAGTGACAACTGCTAGGAATCATCATGCGTTTTTATTGCAAACATGTTACATGCAAGTAAAGGGAGAGGGGCTAGTGTTTTAATTAACAGCTCATAAAGTTTTTAACAATAGAGAACAAAGATTCTATTGGGGGGGGTTGGAATAAGGGTGGGTCTAGTGCAATTCAGGGTTGGATTAAGGGTGGGTCTAGTGCAGTTCCTCAATTGTAGGTGGGTCTCCATGGAATGCAGTTTCGGGAAAGCAGTTCCGGTAAGCAGAGATGATTATCAGCTGATGTGGTGCAGCAGCCATCTTGTGATTACTGGGAATGGTGCTGAGAAAAGAAAATCTCAAGAATAGATAAGGGCCTTCCAAAGGTCAAGATTACTTCTGCCTAGAAAGAACTTCAGCCCACCCTCTATTGTGACCATGGAGATAAAGCATTGTAATTAATAGTAAGTGATCAGAGCAAAGGGGATCGGGTCAGGGGACTTCCTGGAAGATTTTATCATACACTCAGGATGTATAAGAGAGCTATGTAATTATTTTATAGTAGTATATTGGGGAGCCAGAGAGGGGTCACTTCCCAGTAAGGCTGCCACAGTTTTCTGGAGCAAATAGCACACAGCCTTGCTGACATGCTAATTGACCCAAGCTTCCTTCCAAGGTCGGGGGGGCGCACAACAGTGGTCTTGCCATCATGTTGATCCGACCAGAAGCGGAGCTCAAAGGTCGGGGGGCTCAGACAGATCCTGGGGCCTCGTCGGGTCGGACTCCTACAGTTTCTCTCTTTCTCTCTCCCTCCTTCTCTTTCTCTCTATTGAGCATAAGTGCCCTATAGCAAATTAAAATAGTAATAATTATAATGATAAATTAAATAATTTAAATTAATAACTGGGAGAGGAAGTTGAGATAATGGTTGGAAATACTTTGAGTTTAACTGAAGGAGCTGAGAACATAATATGAACTTCTTTGACATTGAAGGTAAACGGTAGAAGTCTTCATGTATTTTTGTTGTTGTTAGAGAGGTTTTTGTATAGGGCACGTGTGCTCGCCAGAGAGACAGAAAGCGAGGGGTGGGGATGGCCATGCCAGTCCTTCTCCTCAAGTCTCGTCTTGGGATTTGGGGCATGTACATACATGCACCCAATGTGAGGTGTTTTTTTTTTTCTTCTTCTTCTTTTGGAGAGGTGTTTGCTATAGGGCACGTGTGCTAGCCAGAAAGACAGAGACATAGAGACAGGAAGAGAGAAATCACCCCCCGGGGGGATGACCATGCCATAATCCCTTCTTCTCCTCTCTCCTCTCGGGATCTTGGGCATGCAAGCACATGCGCCCAGCATAAGTTTAAGCCACCGGGTCCAGGACTCAAACCGTGGTTGACTATGTGGGAGTCCAGCGACATAGCCACTACACTAAGTGCTGGTCCCCCCAATGTGAGTTTTAAGCTGCTGGATCTGGGACTCGAACTGTGGTCGACTATGTGGGAGTCCAGCAACATAACCATTATGCCATCTGCTGGTCCCAGTGTACTATTACAGTGCTCATTGCTGGTTTTTGTTGAAGGTGGAAATAGAGGCTGGAAAGTAAGGAAATGTAGCTAAACACAGAATGTCTCCGAGATTTATGATTCTGTGCATTTGCTTGATATATAATGCAATTAGTTTGATTAAGAGCATGCTAGAGCTTTGTGCCACTAGGAGTTTGGAAATTTTAATCTGGCAGTAGAAAATTCTAAGCCATCTCTCCTACAGCCAAAATTCATTGGTTAAATAAAGTTGGCAGTAAATCTACAGCCTAATCGGAAATAAGTTTTTGACCACTTGTTTTCCCAACATGGTTTTTCAAGGTCTGACTCAATGTTTAGCAGCCACATAAATGAGAACTTAAACAAACTAAAGGACTTTTGTGAGTTTTATACAAAACCTGTCAGCTAAGTTGTTTATGAAGGCCACTGAAAGTTAAACACCATTGAACCATTCATGGAGTTCAGATTTTGCAACCTATAATTGCCATCCCATGACTAATTCATGGAAAAAGCCAAGCAAAATTATAACTTATAAATAACCATTCTTTGAAAGGCTTCACAGTTGCATGGGCTTTTAGCTTACCCAGAAAATTAGAGGTGTGTATAACTGGATGGGTAATAGAGTTTTACCATTTTGTTACTTGTGTAATGTTTTATGGTTCAAATATTGAGGTTTTGCATTTTTATGATTCTTTAGTTTAGAAAAAAATTTAATAAAGGAGACTTTAAACTTTAATTACATGTGGTGGAGACATATGTTCTAGTTCTAACAAAAATCAATGTGTTACATGTATGTTTTATTTCCTCTTGCTATATGTAGGTGTAAGAAGCATAGCAGGTTTAGGGTTTCATGTAAATTAAGGAATAGATCTCCTTTGCATTTTTCTCTAGTATTTGTTCTTTATTTTTTAATTTTTTTTTTTTTTGGAGAGGTTTTCGCTATATGGCGCGTGCGCTCACCAGACAGACAGACAGAGACATAGAGACAGAAAGCGAGAAATCACCCCCCAGAGGGGATGGTCACGCCACAATCCCTTCTCCTCCATTCTCCTCTCAGGATCTTGGGCACACACGCACCCGGTGTGAATTTTAAGCCACTGGGTCCGGGACGTGAACCGTGGTCAACTATGTGGGAGTCCAGCGACATAGCCATTACGCTAACTGCTGGTTCCCTAGTATTTGTTCTTTATTCTCTTCTTCATCCTAAAATAACTAGCTCAAGTACCATCTCTTAGGTTGAACTATATAAAATTACCTTACTGGAATCAGCAGATAGCGTAATGGTTACGTCACTGGACTCCATGTAGTCGACCACAGTTCGAGTCTCAGATCCAGTGGTTTAAAGCATGCTGGGCAAGTGTGCCAAAATCCCAGGAGGAGAATGGAGGAGAAGGAACTGTGATATGGCCATCACCCATGGGGCAGGGGGAGGTGATTTCTCACTTTCTTTCTCTCTCTTGCGCACACGCCTTATAGCAAAAAAAAAAATAAAATTACTTTGTTAAAGACAATTTTGAGTGATCAGTGCCTCTTCTTGATTTCTCATCTTTTTAAAATCTTTTTGGAGAGGTTTTTGCTTCAGGGCATATGCACTTGCCAGAAAGACAGAGAGACAGAAAATGAGAAATCACACTCCCCCCACCCCCCACAGGAGGGATGGCCATGCTTCAATCCCTTCTCCTCCATTCTCCTTTTGGGATCCTGAGCACGCATGCACACATGCCCGGCGTGAGTTTAAGCCACCAGGTCCGGGACTTGAACCACAGTAGACTACATGGGGTTCCAGTGACATAGTCATTACGCCAGGTGCTGGTCCCATAGATTTCTCATATTTATTCCAGCACATTTAACACAGGGTTTGGTATTGTGATTGCTTCTTAATAAATTACCTTTTTTTCCCCCTCATTTAATTAATTAATTAATTTATTTATTTATTTTTGCTGCAGGGTGCATGTGCTCACCATGGTTACACACACACACACAGGGAGGGAGGGAGGGAGTGCAAAAAGTAAGAAAGTACCCCAAAAGGGGAATTTTTATACTGCAGTCCATTCTCCATTCTCCTCTTGGAATTTTGGACATATATGAACATGGTGCCTGGCATGCTTTCAAGTCTGCAATTCCGGAACTGGAACCATGGAGTTGACCATGTCAGCTGCCTTAGCCACCATGCCGCCTGCTGGCCCAATGAATTAACTTTCAGTGAATGTAAAATCTGTTAGACCCATCAGGACTCCTGACAGGGAGTTTCAGCTTCTCAATAGACCCAAACTTTGCCTTTTAACTCCTCAAGCTACTAAGTGCTTGGCACTTTTGAGTGAAGTCTAGCCAACTTGTTCCAAAAGGATCAGAACATGCCCTAAGGCAAAAATCTATAAAGCATTAAATGCTACCCTGTGCAGTTCCCTTCATTCAAAGGTCAATTCCTGTCCTAATTATATCTCTATTTCTACCTGCTTTTTGTAGTTCTCCAGTGACTTATATTTATGGGAAGGTTAATCTACTACAAAGTGCTCTACTATTACTGGGAGTAGAACCATATAGTTTTTCATTTTTTTATCCAATATTTTAACTGGCAAGCTTAGTTCATACAAGCTCACTGTAAATATTGTATTTGTATTTATTTCTTCTATTTCATTCTTTTGTTTCCTCTTTTTTTTTTTGTGAGTATTATTTTGTGGTTACCTTGAAATTTTACCATACACACACCCCTCTTAAAGACTAAAACTTACATACTGTCTACCTCTTTCAAATTATGAAAAGACTTTAGAGCACTTCTGAGCTGGTCCCTTTTGTTCCATTACGTGCTGGTAAAATTTTCTCGCATTTTGCTTTTGTGTGTGTATGGAATATAAGGTGTAAAATATTAGGTCAAGTACAAAATAACTGTGTTTTTCTATGTAAAAATGCATCATGACTTTCTCAGCCACCCAAAAGCTCACAAAGTGGGTTATCACCTCTCAAGTTAAAAAATAGACCACCACTAATACATTAGTCTCCTAAGGCTCTATAACAAAGTACTATAAATTGGCTGGCTTAAAACAATAGAACTTGGGGCCTGCGGGTGGCATGGTGGTTGAGGTGCTGAACTCTCACATGGGTGACCACAGTTTGAGTCCCAGACCTGTTGGCTTGCTTTCTTACTTTCTCTTTCTCTAGTGAGTGTACATGCCCTATAGCAAATTTGAAAGAATAGTAATAATAATAAATAACATTAAATAAATAATTATTTAAAAAAAAATAAACAGAACTGTATTGGACCAGCTGGTAGTATGGTATTAAAGGTGGCTGGATCCCACATGGTCATCCGCATTGTTCAAGTCCTGGACCTAGTAGCTTGAAAAACACACCAGGCGTGTGTGTATATATGCCCAAAAGATTATGGCATGGCTTTTCTCCTTCAGGGGTGCTTTCTCACTTTCTCTGTCTCTGTCTGTCTCTCTTCAATGAGCACATGCACCCTATAGCAAATAAAACTTTTTTTTTTTTTAAGAAAAACCAAATTTATTATCTTACAGTTCTGAAAGTTAGATGTCTAAAATCAAGCTGTAATAGGGCCACACTCCCTCTCTAGTTCTGGTAGTTACTAGCAATCTTAGGCATTCCTTGGTTTATAGATGCATTTTTTTGTTGTGTTTTGTTTTGTCAGATGGTGCTTGCTTTCACTAGAGAGATGGAGAGAAGGTGAGAGAGAAAAAGCACCCCGAAAGGGAATGATCACATCACCATCCCTCCTTCTCTACTTTTCTCTCCTTTCAGTATTGTCATATATTATCTTTCAGAAGCTTTTATTTTTGCCTTTCAAAATTAAATATGTGGTATATCTGGAATTTATTTTTGTGTGTTCCTTAAGGTAAGGGTAAAATTTTATTTTTTTCCCTGTGACCTATCAGTTGTTCTATCACTGTTTATTAAACAAGACCATCTTCACTACAGAATGGTGGAAAAGATGGTCTTAGTCATAAAGCAAGTGTCTTCATGCACATGGGTCTGTTTCTGACCTGGCTCACTAGTAATACTATATATATATTTTTAGAAGTTTTTGTCTTAGGGCACATGTGCTTGCCAGAGAGAGATACACACACAGTGAGAGGGAAAGTGAGAAAACACCCCCAGGGGGATGGCCACACCATAATCCCTTCTCTTCCTGGTATCTTGGGCGTGCAAACACATGCTACTGGTGTGACTTTCAAGCCATAGGATCCAGGACTCAAACTGTGGTCGGCCATGTGGGAGTCCAGCGATGTAACCACTGTGTCAACTGGCACCAGTACTACATTCTTAATTACTGTAACTGTATAGTAAGTTTTCATATCTTATCAACTCTTGTCATCATTTTTGCTAAGAGTAGCTTGGCTTTTTTCTCATCCCTTTGAATCCATCTTAAGACGCATCAGTGGCTCTGAAATGTACCTTAACTTCAGTTTTTACTAGTTTGTAGGTATTTGTTCTGTTTTGTTTTTGTAGGTTTTTGCCGTAGGGTACATGTGCTTGCTGGAGAGAGAGAGAAAGAAGGAAAGTGAGAAAGCACCCCCGGGGGTGGGGGTTGGCCACACCACAATCCCTACTCCATTCTCCTGGATTTTGGGCATGCATGCACACATGCCCTGCATGATTTTCAAGCCTCCAGAATCCAGACAAAAAACATGGTCGATCATTTGGGAATCCAGTGCCTTACTTGCCACACCACTTTGTGACCCCATAGTTTCTAGTATTTTAAATTACAGAGAGCATAACACCAGTGTCCCCACTCAGAGGAAGATGCAGCTATATCTTAGAGGGGTCACTAGTGCCTGTAAATGAAGGAGACTCTAAGAGACAGTAGATTGGATGGGATGAGATAAAACTAGTGTGAGAAGCTAGTATAAGGCCAAAAAATCAACACCTAATTTTACCTTCCTGTATTGTATCATTACCTAGATAGGAGATGGGAGAAGATCTGTGAACCCACTAGGTAATGTTTGTATCGTTCACTTTTGTATTCCTATCTTGGAATATAGTGCACATTGAATAAATGTTTGTTATATATGTACATATACATTATGCTTCTCAAATGACATTGAGTTTCACTCTTTCTCTTAGGTGCTTTACAGTTTAGTCCAACCAGCACTTCCCCCCACCAGCACTTCCCCCCAACTTTACTGAGGTATAATGGACAAATAAAAAAACTGCATCTTTAACAGCCAGTGAAATTTTGTCATTTTATGGTGTTGCCTTTTTGTTTCAAGTCTAATACGTTACCTCAAGTCTTTTAGGACATAAATAATGATTTTTTAAAAATACTTAATTTTATTCATTCATTCATTTATTTTAATTTTACCAGAGAGAGAGAGACAGAGAGAGAAAGGGAGGGAAAGTGAGAAGACAAACCACCAGGTCCAGAACTCGAATGTGGTAGTCCATATTTCAAAATACCCAAATAGTGTGAAGAAACTGCTAATCCCAACTTTTCCATTTTGATTTTCCTTCTTGAAAATATGAGGGTAGTTGATGAAACTTACATAAACACACATATTGATTAGTTTTATTGCCCTAAGTATTAAAATTCTATTTTTTTTTTTAACACAGATGTGGAATTAGAAGAAGCTATTAGAAGAAGTCTTGAGGAAATGTAATTAAAGATTTACTGCACAGCATCAAGTGGCCTTGAGAGGACTCAGGATAATGAATTCTTGAGTTTGTTTTCTAAAGGAGACCAGAAGTCGACTAGTACAAATGCGTTTGAAAACACGTTTTTGCTTTCGTATCTTCAAAATCCAATGTTCATTTTGTATTTTTGTGCTATGGTACAAAAATGTATGGATGGACTAAGATTCATGTTAATGCAAAAGTAAATTATGTATTGTAATGTAGGTATCATAGTTTCCAAGTTAACTTTGAACTCATATATTTAGGCTAAAAGGATTTTTTAAAAAGCTCTTGTCTCCCATATAACATTAGTTCTCTAATTTTACTTGTATTATACAGATAATTCTAGTTTTTCTGTTTTGTTTTTGAGTGACAGTATAAATAAAGGTGTGCCATAGGTCAGTTTTTCCATAAATTATACTTTTCCTGTGGCACTAATATATAATACCTTTGTTTATGATTATTTGAAGAGGATCATGAAAATTAATCATGGAAAGAGATTAAAAATTTTACCAGTGATGTTCTTGTGGATATCACACAGATGTATATTCTTGCTTTTATTAGAGCAGTGTATTGCTAAAATAAACACACCTGATTTTTTCAAAACTTTTTCCATTCCTTTTACCTGCTTAGACTTTTCGTGTGACTTGTATGCTCTACTGCTTAAAGAGAAAGATGTCAAAATATTTGTATAGAATTAAAGTTATTTTTAATATTAGTTCTTTTTTATATATTTATATAAACATAATAGTCTTCAAAAAACAAGATCTACTCAGGAATAACCTTTAATTCTTCAAATTTTTTTATTTGTCAGTTTCCTACATTTGGTATTACATATTCAAAAATTCTTAAATATTGGGACCAGCAGTTAGCGTAATGGATATGTCGCTGAACTCCCATGTAGTCGACCATGGTTCAAGTTCCAGACCCAGTGGCTTAAACTCACGCCGGGCACATGTGTGTGCGTACCCAAGATCCCGAGAGGAGAATGGAGGAGAAGGGATTGCAGTATGGCCATCCCCCTTGGGGGGGGGGTGATTTCTTGCTTTCTCTCTCTCTCTCTCTCTCTCTGGTGAGTGCACGTGCCCTATAACAAAAACCTCTCCAAAAAACAAAAATTCTTAAATGTTGAGGTCCCATTCTGAATTTAAAATAAAATACTTTAGAGGGCAAGAAGGGCTTGTCATACTGTTTATGTATATGCTTTATGTTATTTGGCCAGAAGTGTCTTATGCCTAAAACTTTTCAGTAGTGATTATTTATCAAACTTAAAAAATACTTCTGACAATATAAAGCTTTTCCTTATAGATGACGAAAAGACATCATGGCCAGAATTTTGTTCTTTCTCTGAAACATTAATCATGTTTTTAATTCATACTAAAATACTATTGTATGACCATGCCACAATCCTTTCTCCCCCATTCTCTTCTTGATGTTTTTGGTTACTCACCCACACAATGCCTAGCATGTTCTTCAAGCCTCCAGGTCCGAGATTCGAACTGCATGGTCAGCCGTGTGGGATCCACCACACCATGGGCTGGCCCACCTCCCTTACATTTACAAAAAAGACTTTGTAGCTTGGGAATTTGTGAATCATCTTTTCAAAATGTCATTATACTCTCTATTTTTGTGTTAACGTGATCAAGCATGGCATTAAGAGGTAGTCACTGAGCTGGGCCTTCAACATCTTCGGGAGCTTCCTAGTGAGGAGCACAAAAGGCATTTCAGAAAGAAGAGTGTTGTTCAGCATATGTGGGACAAGAGGATACTGCTTGTCTTTGCCAGAGATTGCACATTCTACATACTGATGTACATTCTACACTATTGTAAATGCTCATTTTAAGAGAGACTGAGAGGCCAGCAGATGGTGTAGTGGTTAAGGTGCTGGACTCCCACATGACTGACCATGGTTTGAGTCCCAGACCTGGTGGCTTAAAACACAACTGGGTATGTATGCATGTGTGCCCCAAATCCGAAGAGTAGAAGGTCATTTCTCACTTTCTCTTTGTCTCTCCCATGAGTGCACACACCCTATAGCAAAAATCTCCCTTTAAATAAAAAGAGAAGCTTTAATAGTATATATGATATAGAGTAAATAAAGCTTTTGATTTGACAAGAAAGGGATATTTCATCATGACCTCTAAAAAGAGATAATTGAATTGTTTAATGTTTTAATAATTGTCACTGTATTTCTACTTGATAATTAAAAATTATTTCAAAATTAATAATTTGATTTGAATTTAGAAACAAGATGTATGTAGGCAGTGGATGCTTGAGAAATTTACCTAGATTACAATGCAAAGTAAATGTTTCTAAATTGACCAATGTTTATTTCATTACTTCATTCACGCAAAGTATTTATTGAGTACCTCTCATGTGCCAGTGACTGCTGTAAGCACTTGAGATATACCAGTGAGTGAAACAACGTCCCTATTGGGACTTGTGTCCTCTATGTGTCCAATGTGTACTCTATGGCGTACACACTGGGAAAGAAGAGGATTGGACAGGGCGAATAAATAAAACTGGTGATAAGTGTAAAGAAGGAAAGGAAAGATAGGAAGGGAATAAGCAGTGGGATGGGAGTTGGGGGGAAGCTTGCTGTTAAAAGGGTAGCCTGAGAAGATCTCACTGATAGGTGAACTTGAGCAGATCTGAATGAAGAAGGTAAAGGAATGAGCCATACAAATATATGTAGAGGGAAGAGGGGTCCGGGTGGGGGATGAGAATGCCTAGATCCGTGCTTGGTAAGGAAAAGCAAGGAAAGGCAAAAAAATGCTAGTATGGCCAAAGCAGCATGAGCCTGGAGAATGGATGGGAGATAGGTCTTGGAGGCTTTCCTAAGGATCTTGGCTTTTACTCTGAATTAGCCTTTGGCAGTTCCTGAGAGTAAGTGGCCATAGTTTGCCTTATTTGGAAGGATTACTTTAGTTACTGTATTGGGAATACATGTGAGAAGTGTTGAAAGAAGCTGGGAGAGCAGAGAGCAGGGTACTGGAGTGATTGAGGTACAAATTGACCAGAACCAGAATGGTGGCCGCGGGTAATTGGGAGGAGAGTCTGGATTTATTTTGAAGGTAGCATTGATGGGATTTACTAATCAGTGGACTGGATGTAGGCTATGAGCAAGAAGAGTTTGGGATGATTCTAAAGTCACTTGATAGACCATAGTTTTTCACTTAATAGACTGAAACCTTTCGCAAAATGTGTTCCTATTTCACGTTGTCATGACATGACAAAATAAGGAGGCCAAATAATCTACACCAGTAGTTTATTGGAGTTTAGAATGAGTTCAGAAGAAATTGAGATCCGAGGTTAAGGGCCTCATTTCTGTTAAAAGTATTTAAATGGCTTTAATCTCAGATTACAAAGGTTGTAGTTCAGTTTTAAAGTGTCATTATCTGTCATTTTACGTGTCCTGTACATTTTCATCCTTGCGATATAAAGTATAGCGGTAACTCTGACAGAGAAGCGAAACACCCTTTTGTAGGTAGACAAATCTTTGTACTCAGCCCTTACTCTGTCTTCCACTTTCCTTAGGATGTCTGATCTAGGGGCCCATTGTACCTTTATTATTGAAGTAAATTGGGTGTGAAGTTCTTTTTCTCTAAAGCTTCAGTATTGTCCAGGCTTTCATTATTCCCTCCGGAATGTGACAGGTAACAGGGCCGGTCAGGCAAGGATCAATTGCCTAGGAGCTGTATTTGCGCTGTTTCACAAAGGGACCCTTCCTCCCCCTATCAGAGGGCTCCAGCCTCGTTCTTGCTTTGAATTATGGGTGGGGGAGAAACTGTTAGTAAACGGAGCCTCCCGTCGCTGGCAATGCGCCCACAGCCTGTCTACTGCTAGGTACCGTCGCGTGTGGGGACGGCTGCGCTCGGGCCACGCCGGGAGACGGAGCCGGGGGTCCGGGAGCAGAAGGACCAGCGACCTCCCCGGTCCTCCGCTTTCTGCGTCCCTGCTTCCCGTCGTCCCCTCAGGCCCAAGCCCCGCTCGCCCGCCCACCCTGGAGCCCCGTCCCAGGCCCGGCACCCGAGCCCCGCGGCCAGCGCGCCTGCCCTTCTTTGGCCACGCGGCAGCGGCGGAGTCGGCGCGTCCCCGGGCCGCCCCCGCGGGCGTC